AGAACATTAACGATTTAAATTTCATTTTGGCTTGCCGCCATTAAACAATTTGTCCCTAATTGTGCGTAAAGTTATTAGAAGACCGCATTCATATGTGTGAGTGTAGGCTATATTCAACTTGTTGAGAAACCACGTAATCAGCGAAGAATTGTGGCTTTGCTTTAATACGTTCCAAAAAAAATACAAATAAAACAGATAAAAATTAACTAAAAAATATATAAAAAAATACAACAAAATGAAATTAAATAAGCAAAAATATAATTCTATTAACTTTAATACAATAAAGTAAATGAAAGATATATAAATAAAATCTAATAAAATAAATAAAGCAAATGAAAACAAACTAACAGAAAAAAAAATAAATTAAATTAAATTAAATTAATAAAATAAAATAAATTAATGTAATTAAATAAAATTAAATAAAATACAACAAAAAAATAAAATAAAATAAAACAAAATAAATTAAACAAAACTAAATTAAAATAAAATAATATAAATTGAAAAAATAAAATGAAATAAAAAATTATATAAAATAAAATGAAATGAATTAAAATTAAATGAAATGAATAAAATAAAATAAGATAAAATAAAATAAAATAAAATAAAATAAAATAAAATAAAATAAAATAAAATAAAATAAAATAAAATAAAATAAAATAAAAGGGAATAATACGAAAAAATTATATAAAAAATAGACTAAATAAATTTAATTAAAAAAAAAAAAAAAAAAAAATAAGGAAAAATAGAATAAACTTGAATAAAAAAAGAGAATAATATGAAACAAACTGAAAAAAACTAAATAAATAAAGTTAAATAATATTTCTAATATTTGAGTTTATATATGTACATATATAACATAAATTAAATTAATGTGAAGCAAATTTAAATAATTTAAAAGAGAATAGTAGAAAAATAAAGTAAAAAAAATTAAATTAAGTTATAAAGTTATATCAAATAAAAAAAATGTAATAAAAAAAACTTCAATAAATTACTCTAAATTAAAATGCATAAAAAAAGTAAAATAAAAAGAAATTAAGTTCAATAAAATAAAATAATCTAACCTAAAATAAAATGAAACATTATAATATATATTAAAAACACCTTGGATTAAACAAAATAAAATTAAGCAGAAGAGCACAAAATAATATTTCTTTAGGAAAATTAAATTAAACAAAATTATTTAAAAAAAATATCATAAAATAAAGTAATTTATAATAATAAAAACTAAATTAAAATTAATTTCAATGTTTTACAATAAANAAAATAAAATAAAATAAAATAAAATAAAATAAAATAAAATAAAATAAAATAAAATAAAATAAAATAAAATAAAATAAAATAAAATTAGATAAACTAATATGAAATAAAAAAAATTAAATTAGAACAAAATATAAAAAATTAGATAAATGAAATAAAATAAAATAAAATAAAATAAAACTACATGAATAGATTAGTTTGAACAAAATTAAATAAAAGAAATTAATTAAAAAATAATTAAAATAAAATAAAATTAAATTTAATTTAATAATATATAAAAAATAAAAAAGTAAAATAAGTCAAAATGAATTAAAATTAAAAAGAAGACAATAATAAAAGAATGAAGGAGTGTAATGTACTAAACGTAGTGATTATTTTTATGAGGTTACAGTTGAAATATTTTATCCAATCCTATTATGTGAGATCGCCGCGAAATTGAGCAACCTTTTGTAGGATTGGTTAATCAAGCCTTTGGATCATGGCTTATAGAGTGGTAGTTTTAGTGGAGTTACTGTGGTTTAAAGGTTCTCTGAAGTGTTACTGCAGCGAGACTGAAGTAGCCTCAGCGCAGTCCCGATTTGAATCCAGTGGAGAACAGCATGTAAGCATGCCGCCCAAAATACATGGACAAAAATTTCAAAGAAAACCATATAAGACCACTTTGGAGCTCAAGTTGGCCACTAAGGTACCTAGGGAAGATTCGGACAACACAATGCTGTGACATTTGGTGAAGTCAATGCCAACTCGTAGTTTTTAGGTCATTAATAAAAAACTATAACTATAAAAGTTTTTCGTACTCAATATAAATTCCCGTTAGATTGTAAACAATATGGGGTAGAATATATTTTGAGTATTATATTGAGAAAAAAGAGAGAAGGGAAATAAATTAAAATTAAGAGTGCGTTTAAACGAATGTAGGGCATTGTACGAGTATATGCCCAGGTAGGCTGTCTCCGGATGGATGAACTCGTGACCAAAATCCGGTATGTTCTGCTAGATGTACAGCATATTTATAGTGTTCTTAATGTGCGCACGCTTTGAGGTTCAAATATAGGCTTGGACCACTATTTTGCGGCAGTCAAGATACGACACCGCCTCTGTTCAGTAAAGTACGCCAAACGACAAACATAAGGAACGCGAAGTCGATACACTGTCAGTATGGACAGCCGAACGGTTTTCTACCGACATGCAATCCTGCTCTCTGAGAGCACTTATTTACAATTCGGTTGGAAGGAGCTGTAAGATGACATTTCATGCTACCTATGTACAGTAGCTAAAGAACCCATTAGTTTTGAAAAAAAAAATACTAATTTAAGGCGTGAATTGCATAAAGTGATATTTTTCATATATTTTTCTTCCAAATAAAATCGAAAAATATTTTTGTGAGTAAAAGTTAATCATTTTCCAAATAAAAGGAAAAAAAAAACTTTTCGCGCAATTTCATAATGAGAACACACCGAAACAAAAAGATTGAGTGAAATAAGACCATTTTTATTTTCTGAAAACTTAATACTTTATTCTTTGTAATTCGTACAATTGCAACATTTCTGTTAAACAATCCATTTAGTACTTAGTAATAAATAATGAATACTAAGCAACTTCAAAAACTCATGTATTCGAGTATTTTCAAATAAACTTAAGAAGAGGAAGAAGAATTTTTTGTTGATATGTAATAGCATTAGAAGTAAGTTACCGTTAAAAAGAACTATCAGAAGTACATATGTATGTACATGCCTACATATACATATATATATTTATATATACTATGTATACTATGTATATACATATATTTCTAATTATGTAATAGTAGATAGTAAATATATGTATTTTTTTATTTTATTTACAATTTTAGAATAACTAAATTAATTGAGCGTTGTTTATAGCAAATATATGTATGTATGGGGAAAAGTTAAATATTTGTATATAATTTTTTTTTTTCATTTTCTTTTAAAATATATACACATATAGTATAACTACTGGGTTTGTGCTTCATATATAACGCGTGCTAACAAACAATTAAATATGTATTTGTAATTGTAACAATGTGATTATTTAATATATAAAATTTATATAATAATAAATTATTTTTGTATTGCTTTGTATGTGTATGTGTGTACAACTATTTAATACATTTTATTTCATTTTTTTCTTCTTTTAAATAATAAGTGTCCGTTTTTGCACTCAAAATCCATTTTTTTTCCAAAAAAAAAAAAAAAGTTATTAAAAATAATAATACAAATAAAAAAAATAAAAATAATAATATAAAAAAAATTTTAAAGGTAATAATAATTAAGAGAAAAATGAATTTCTTATTTTAAGGTTTGCTAACGAATCTTTATAACAACACAACTGTGACGGTCAAAATGTAGTTAAAACGAAAATTTTTCTCCAATGTGAAGAGAACCGAAGAATATTAAAAAATAGGGGGTTATAAAGCTATAAAAAGACCGTTGTTTTGTTAAAAATATTTTATACTTCTTCTCACTCTCAAATAGTGCACAGAAAACCGAGTTTTTTTTCGAAAAATAAAACTAGTGAACGTTGCTCCATAGATATATATATAATTAATTTATTAAACTCGGTTTAACTGGACGGTGAGTTAAGTACTTTTGAAGACAGAAATGCCTACGAAGTAAATTGGCCTCTATTTTTCTTATAATTCATATGAAAAGGTATTCGAGTTAAATATATTTGAGAATAAAGAGTTTTTATAAACTTTCTTGATTACATGGGTAAACACTATTTTTGTCACGCGTCAAACTTTTTGATGATTTTTGTTTATGTCTGTGTACACTCATAGAAAATAAACAATTACTTTGCTTCAGCATAAGACAGGACATGCAAAGAGCCTAGTAACAGACTATTTTGGATGTAAAAGGTGGAAAAAAGAGATGATCATCCGTTTATGCTAGGGCCACAGGTGCGCCTGACATTGCCAATAACTTCAGTCCTTTCAGCAACTTCAGAAATACTCAAGGCCCTCTAGCTTTGAGTCGAAATATTTCCTATCATTGAAATTTTATCCACAGAATTTGTGGAAATATAAAATGAATGAATGAGTTTGTATGATAAACAAATGACGCTGTACGTGCTGCAACCTCAAAACTTACACCGAGGCCGGGTTTCACTACGTGCAAGGGTTGGAAATTAAAAATCAAATTATTTTTTCTTTATAATCCCCGAACCCAAGTCTGGCTCAGACAACGCATACATATATTAAGTCAAGTAAAAAGTTTGTTCGGTTTTAATCTAAGAGACTCAGTGAGCGCTCGTCAAAGATGGACACCAGCAAAGAGAAAATTCGCAACATTTTACAATTTTTCTTCGATCACGGCGAAAAAGCAACCAAATTGACTGAAAAAAATAATTTATTTAATGGGCCCGATACTGTAAACGAACGTGTAGCACAAAGTGGTTTGCTAGGTTCCGTTCCGGTAATTTTGGTGTCAAAGATGCACCTGGTTTTGCTATGTGTTTGTTGGTATTGTCAAGGAATCATCTACTACGAGCTGATATCCTATGGTGAAACGCTCAATTCGGCCCTCTACTGCCAACAAATGGACCGCTTCAAGACAACACTCATCCAGAAGAGCCCATCTTTGATCAACAAGAGCTGAAATGTGTTCCAGCAGGACAACGCCAGGCCACACACGTTTTTGGTGACGCGCCAGAAGCTCCATGAGCTCGGATGGGAGGTCCTAATGCACCCACCTCATAGTCCGGACCTGGCACCAAGTGATTACCATCTTTTCCTGTCCATGGCGAACGCGTTTAATGGTGAGAAGTTGGCCTCAACAGAGGCCTGTGAAAATTGGCTATGTGAGTTTTTCGCCAAAAGGGACGTAACCTTCTACGAGAGGGGTATAATGAAGTTGGCATCTCGTTGGCAGCAAGTTTACGAACAAAACAGCGCACAAACCTTTTACTTGACTTTAATATATGGTGAGCAATGAATATGTAGGTGACACAAAAGGAAAAACAAATTTTGAATGAGAAACAAGGACATAGAGAAAAAATCATCAAAAGGTGCGAGTGACAAAATCAGTGTTTAACAGTGTAAACGAAGAAAAATGTAGGAAAGTGAGGATTTTTTATTTGAAGTTTATTTAGTTTAAGATTTTTAATGACTGAACGAAAGCAGAGGACTGTCAGATGTTAATGGCAACTTTAATCATTTTATAAAATAATTATATTAATATTGTAAATTAAAAATCAAATTATACAATAGAAAACCGTAATTTTAGAAAAAAATCCCTGAAAATCATTAAAAAAATAATTTAATCTAATTCTTTAAAGTAGACCAAAGCAGAGCGATTTTTGGAAGAAGAAGCAAAGTGTGGAGAGAAATTTAAAAAATAAAAAAAAAATGTCTATAATTTTCATACAATAACAACAATATTTTAAAAGTTTTTTTAAATGACATTTTAAGTATTTTTCTTATTTTATATTTCATAATGGCTTCCTAACTCTTCCGTCCAATATGCTTCTATCCTTACTTATTGCATCTTATTTATGTGTACAGTTAATACTCACTTATAATTAATACTAAATAACTTTTTAAATTTAATTCTTATTTGTTGTTTTTATGTATTTGGTGTTGGTTTGCATAAGCCAACCTTGACTAAGAACTAAATTTATGATTTATAAAAACCGCCAATACACATTACGGTGCAGCACAAACCACAACGTTGTGCCGCAACTGCGCCACGCCCAATGGGTTTCAGCAATCGCTCAACCAAACCGCGCACTTATTTATGCTCAACTAAATTTTGATTAATACAACGTCATCCATGCAGCGCCACTCTTCAACTTCATCATCATCATCATCATCATCAGCATCATCACCACCACCGTCGTCAGCACCATCTGCGGCGCAGTTATCTTGCTGTTATTTAGTCGTATGCCGCGCCCAAGCCGTCCTCTGCACTTGGCTCATAATTTGACTGCGATTGGGCACCTTCTCGCTGGTGCTGCGCTGTATAAAGCTTGGCGTGGCCGAGAGTTTCCGCTGATTCGTTACGTTGCCCGCCTCGTCGGTGACTTTCAGCATTACGGTGTTGAAACGTGCCTCGTTGTTGTTGTTGCTGTTACCGCTGTTGTTGCTATTGTTGTTGTTGTTACCACCACCATTACTACGTATGCGCGGCGATGAGGGTGAAGCTGCTGAATCGAGTGTAGACGAGGAGCGACTCGACTCGCGCGTGCCAGAAGGACTGCTTGTGGCTATGTTCCCATTGGAGGCGGACGAGACCATCGGTCCGCCTAGCGGTTTCATCAATTGTTCGTCTATTAAATTATTTAAATTCTGATCAATGCTGCTAAGCTGTTGTAGTGTATCCGCGGCATCTTGTGGCAGCTGCTGCTGCAGGGCGTGCTGTAGCTGTGGGCTGTGCGTGTATGAGTTGCGTGTGAGTGTGCTCATTGGTGAGGGCGTCAATTGGCCTGATAGCGTAGCTGGCGAGCTAAGGAAGTTGAAGTTACTCGCTGCATTGTTGTTGTTGGCCGGACTACAGGACATGGGGTTGACGAAGAAGAAAGAGTTGCGCGGCGAAGGCGTCTGTTGTGCATTCCCCAGTGGCGTGCCGCCCAACGACAGCGCATTCGTGTTGCTGCCAGCGCCGAGATTGAGCGCCTGTAGCCGATTCAAAAGCTCCTGATTGACCTGGTAGAGATCTTTCGAGAGAGCGTCTTGTTGCGTTTGCGTGGTATGCGCATTCAGCTGCTGCAATTGGTTGCTTATGCTCTGCAGTTGGTTCATTGTGGGGTAGGGACTATTGTTGCCGTTGTTATTGTTGCTGTTATTATTGCTGTTGGCAGCGCTGGTCGACGTGGCGATATTCAGCTGTAGCTGCGATTGTTGCAGCGAAGCGGCCGAGCAAGGCGGTGTCAACTGTTGTGAGGCCATGGACACTGTCGGCGGCGGCGAGTGTTGTTGTTGCTGCTGTTGTTGTGCGACGGCAGCGTTGATATTTTGGAAGTTCTGTATATTTTGACTCTGCTGATTCAAACCGCTCAGCTGATGGCTGAGCGATGTCAGCTGCTGGTTGATGGAGCCAAGGCTGTTTATTTGTTGATTGATGGTGGCCAAGTTGTTGTTGTTGCCAGTAGCTTGCAATAGCATTTGCAGCTGCGTGTGTGGAAGGAAGGTGGGTGGAAAACATTAGTTTTGAGCAATTTTTTTTTTAATTTTTCTCTTTTTTCATTTTTCAATATTCACACAAACGCAATAACAACACAAAAAACACTGAAACTCAACAAAAAAAGAAAGCCGTGCAAACGAAATCAAATGCGAAGCGCACAGCAGAAAAAGCAACAACAATTGTTTTTTTTTTGTAAATAATGAACACAGCGGGTGGAGCCAAACAAAAAATAATAAAAACATAAAAAAATATATTAATCAGAAAAAACTTTCAAAATCATGCTTCATGCAGATGCGCTGACGTCACTGTCTACTTAGAACTGAGTAAGTGTGTTAAGGCTAAACCAGCCAGCAGCTGGGCGGTGTTATGACATTGTCGTTCAAATAAAACTTATTGCAGTATTTTAGGCAGCATTTACAGCAACAACAAAAAGAGGCGAGAAATAAATTAACATAATTTTTTTAAATTATTTTTAATAAATACCTGTGGTGCCATGCCAATATTGGCCGATGTAAGCCCAGCCGTCTGCTGTTCATTGTAGGCGCCCAGCGATGCCAAATGCTCGAGCAACTCGCGATTCTGTTGTAACAGTTGCTGTGTGCGTGCCTGCATAAAAGGGGATTAGGAGATTTCTTATTTTATTACCGAAGGTCAATTTAAACAGTTTATAAATTAAAAAAAAATATAATAAAGAGCTTCTGAGTTGTTATATCTTACGGTATAAAATGCACAGAGAGACCTCTAACGTCAACAAACTATCGAATAAGCAAATCGGATATGATAACGAGAGAGAGCGCAAGATGAAAAGAAATTCACCACACCGAATGCAAGCGAACACATTCGACTCGTAACCAAAATGAGCCATTTTAAAAGGCTAACCATATCGAGTGGTGAAAGGTGATTCATAATTCATGGCACAAGGAAAAGGGACCGTCGAAAATAAACATCCGAGGCCCGTATTGACCAAAAGAACATAGCGCATTCTATGGTGGGCTTGAATAACTCTTTGAGCGACCTACAAGAAACCAAATCGAAATAGCATAAAGCAATCAAGAGAAAATACCAAAGTTGACCAATTCATGGGCGTGATTTTTCACCATATAAATAATCTCAATGACTATTGTGCTCCTTGATTGCTTAAGCGAAGGGTCTTCTTGGTGGATCGTAACGTTTTCAGTGACGCAGAATTAGCATAAAGACGAGGTTCCATTGCTATTAGACAATTATGTAGTCTTTGAGCTTAAGTCAATAAGCAACGTAATCGAAACTGAAAGGTTTGCTGTTACAGAGTTAAATATCGAACTGATTTTGGAACCATAACGCATACGGCATACGGTGGCTCTTGTAAGGGTAAACCCATGTTGTACAAGTGGCACTTTTTAAGGTGATCCGCGACCGAGTAAAAGCATCGCAGTTAGGACGCCCGTACTTATCCTTAAAGTTATTTTCGTTGATTCACGCCTAAGCAAAAACAGTAGAAATGGTTGAAGTATCCGATACAACCATTTTTAAATTTTTTGCACGTTCATCTTGGCATGACTAAGATCACCGCGAGTTGGGAGCCGAGTATGCTCACGCGTCCACAAAGACAACAGTGCGCAGGTAGAGTGTTCAGGAGCATTTTCGAATCTTTGTAATGAAGAGAAGTATGGTGTATTGAGTCGAATTGTCACTGCCGACGAAACTTAGGTACATCATTAATAGCCATTAGAAAAGTCAGGTTTTGGTTCCTAGTCCCACTAATATCCAAAGATTATAGGAAATTAATTTCAGCATAGCCTAGACCTAGCCTCGAGTAATTAACACTTGTTTCCAAAAAAGAAAAAAAAACCTGAGGTGTGTCAAATTTCTCAACGGTGATGAATGAGTTCTTCTGGACGGTTTGGCTCAGCTGACAATTTTTTATTGAAGATAATGTATCAGCGTAGATTTTTTACCTGTTTGCTCAAGCGAAAAGCTATCAATGTACCGAATTTCAGGTCAGTCCCTGGTCCACTATTAATGTTAATCTTGGTAAAAAGATACCTAAGTAAGAAATTTCAGGTAAATCGAAGTATAAATATGATTTTATCGAATAGCTCAGTCTCTGGTACACTTTGCGGAGGGAAGAAAAGTCTTCCTATTAATCTAAACAAAAAGCTACCCTTGTTGAACCACTTTTTTGAATAGTACAGTCCCTGATCCACGTTTCACTGAGAAGTGCATTCTTCCTGATAACTTAATCAAAAAGACGCTTATGAAATAGATCAATCCCTGGACCATTTGCGGAGAGAAGTTAGTCTTCCTGTTAATCTAAGCAAAATGCATTTTATGTACCGAATTTCAAGTCAATCGAACCATCAATAACATTTTTTTTTGAATATTATTGAGTATCTAGAAATTCGGCAAAGTGATAATAAAAGAGCTTGCTCTATATTACTTCAAGTTTAATACTCATTGAACTCGTAAGTATTGTTGTCGCACAATAGAAAGAAGAACTAGACCTTGCACTATGCGATGTTTCCCCTCTTTAATCTAAATGTATTGAAGCTGTTGCCCTGCTGTTAGCTGGAAGGCTAGATTACATATTCTCCAGCGAATACGTTCCTATTATTCGCGATACGATAAGATTGAAAAAAAAAACTATAATGACGAGGCTTTCCGAAGATATTATCAGTTTACGTCTCTCACTCACCTGAGCCTCAATGCGCGCATTTGTTTCCGATATGAGCTGCTCGCGCACCAACATCAGCTGTGCCAATGCCTGACGCGTTTGTATGGCCTGTTGCTCTAATTGATCCTTTAACTTGTTAATCTCATGGCTTGGTGATGATGGTGTTGTGGGTGATTTATCTTCATCGGCGGTCTGAAAGGAGAGAAAGATTTAAAATGAATAGAGAAATGTATGGAGTTGGTTAGCAGTCTACTCCTTTGAAGGCTATTTCCAGGCAGAAGACAGAGAGAGAACAATAAACCCACAGTTGGTTAGTTAGTTGGAATCTGAATAAAATTAGTTGCTGTTATCCGATTTAAGGAACTTAGATTGGGATATATGGGAAAAATTTTGAAATAATAAATTTTAGATAAAGTCTTTAGCCTGCTTAGACGCTATAGAAAGATGCTTGCGTTTATTTTTATTTAAGCTAAATTAAATTAATCAAACCATAATTTCTACTGTTGGATTCTTACTCTGCTACCTTTTCGGGTTCCAAGTAAAACACGCCTGCTTCTATGCAATTCAGTATAATAAGTATAAGTGTTTATTCAACAGTTAGAAATGAAGGACTGACTGAATGTTTTCGGTTTCAGTTATTTCAAAAACATTACAGGGTTGCATAATATGTTAGTTGCTATTAGGGTTACATTTCAACA